GGGATGGATGAGCTTGAGAATCTCAACATCCATGATGCCAGTTGGCACAACTGTGCGTGGGTCCTCCAGTACAACCATCAACGGGTCTGCTTGCGCTTCCTCGGAAGCAGCCTCCTTCTCCTTCTCGTCTTTCGCGTCGTTCTCCTTGCCTTCTTCGTCCTTTTCATCCTTTTCCTCATTCGTCTTCCCTTCCTCCTCACCTTCGCCCTTATCCGTTGCTTCCTCACCCTTCTTCTTCTCCCTTTCATCCTCGCCCTTTTGCTTGACCTCCTCGCCAGCTTCGTCGCTGGCTTCATCCATCACCTTCTCGTGCCTGACTTCGTCAACCGCATCACCACTTGTTGCTGCTGTTGCTGTTGAGTCACCATGTTTCTCGGTCTGGCCGAAACTGTCCTCGCCGGTGCTGTTTTGCCCCGGCTGCTTTTGCGGTGCTTGCTGCTCCACACCCTCTTCTCCACGCACTTGCTCCTGCTGCTCCTGCTGCTCCTGCTGCACAGGTGCACCACTTGCCTCCTCTGCCTCGTCGTCGTTACTGCCGTGTTTGGCGCGCTTTCGCGGCTGCTCTGCTGTGGTGGTGGTTGTCGCGTCGTGCTGCGTGACGTGCTCCTCCTCTTCCCCTGCTTCTGCTCCTTGCACCTTCACCTGCTCTCCACTCGTGTCATCGGTGTCCACATCCTTTGCTTCTTCACCTCCTCCTTGCCTGCTCCGCTCCCCACCCTCCTGCTGTTGCTGCGATTGTTGCGTCTGCACGCCTTGCTCCGCACTATCGTGCAGCCCAGCATCGCCGCTGTTGTCGCCGCCTTCCATCGTCATTCGTTTTCCCCGCCAGCGACTGTTTATTGAAATCATTCACAAATCCTCTACAACCACGTTTGTTTGGCGCTGCGACAGGTTGTGTGCACCAACCAGCAACCTCCACCACAACACGGGAACATGCGGCGGGCGTTGCGGCTGTTGGGACAGGGCGAGACCATCTTCGCCCTGTCATCTGGGGGAGTGAGGGCTGGCGTAGCCGTTATTCGCGTGTCTGGACCACAGGCTCACGATAGCATCACGCAGCTGACAAAGGCGGCGGCGCCACCAGCGCGGCTGGCCAGCGTGCGCAAGCTGTTTGATCCCCTCTCCGGTGACATGTTAGACCATGCCCTTGTACTAAGGTTTGACGAAGGCCACAGCTTTACCGGCGAGGTGCGTGTGTATGTGCATGTGCAAGTGTGTATTTGTGTGTGTATGTGCATGTGCATGTGAGTGCATGTGTGTGTGTGCATGTGTGCATGTGAGTGCATGTGCAAGTGTGTGCGTGTATGTGCAAGTGTGTGCGTGTATGTGCAAGTGCGTGCGTGCATGTGCAAGTGCGTGCGTGTATATGCATGTGCATGTGCTTGCGTGCGAACCTGTGCTGATGTGCACTTGCACGCCTGCACTTGCATGTACACTCTTGTTGCACGCGTGCGTGCGTGCGTGCGTGCGTACACTTGTCCTTGCCTTTCCCAACCCTTGCCGCCCGGAACTATCCCCAACACAGGCGGTCACTCACCTGTTGCTGCTGCTTCTGGTGATGATGCAGGCCATTGCTGAGTTCCAGGTCCACGGAGGAAATGCTGTTGTGTCATCTGTATTAAAGGCCCTGGAAGGCGTGGAGGGTTTGCGCCACGCAGAGCCGGGCGAGTTTACACGCCGCTCCTTTTGGAATGATCGCATGGACCTGACACAGGTGCGCGTACTTGCATATTTGCTTGCCCCTGCACCTTCATTTCTCCCCTGAATTACGTTGTTCATCAGCTGCGCTTGCTGGCCCTTTTCCCCCCCCCCCATTGGCCTTGATCAACGCCAGTGCAGTCCTGGCCCAAACTCACATCTCCGGCTGTGCTTGCTTGGCCCTGGTTATGTCGCTCCTGCGTTTCAGGTGGAAGGCTTATCAGATCTAATTACAGCTGAAACGGAACAGCAGCGTAAACAAGCATTATCATACATGAGTATGTGTGATCCACCGCACCAGCTCTTTCCTGTTGCTCCCCGTGCACTGTGATGGCACCATACCCACTCTGCCCACTCTACCCACTCTCCCCCTCCTCCAAATCTTACATTCCACCAACTCCCAACCCCACTTCTCTCGTTTGTGCTGCAGCTGGGAAAGCAAGTAAGGTGTACCAGACGTGGAAATCGACGCTGCTCCGGGCTGTTGCGCAGATTGAGGCGTACATTGACTTTAGCGAGGAGGAGAACATCGAGGAGGATGTCACCGCTCGTGTCGACCAAGCGGTGTGTATGGACACTTGACGCACACTGTGTGTGTGTGTTTAATGGTGAAGGGGGAGGAGTGTGTGCACTGATGGTGACGGGGAGGAGTGCGTGCCTTGTTGTTCTTCAGGCTCAATGGCGCGTGCTGCTTCCGTTGCTGACTTGCGTGCCTTCATCACACACACACACACACACACACACACACACACACACACACACACACACACACACACACACACACACACACACACACACGACG